GAACAATTTAAAATATTGAATCAATGCATTCTATGGCACCTTTAATGCATTTGGAGATGTTTCTTTCCTCAGTGTATAACTTATATACACTTGCAGTTATATGTTTAGATGTAAATTTGAGAAAAGCCTGCAAGTATTTGCATTTTGCATAAAGGTTCTTCCTAACAGCAAGTCTCTGATGAACTTCATAGACTTCATTAATCAAGCAGCAACATGCACATCAAACAAATAGAGTGCAATAATTCGAACTAAAATATGCATTTTTCTACGATGAATGTAGGTTTAAAATGCTACATTAAACTTAATTATATTTATGGAGAACAGTTACTGTAAAGGGGCTATTTTAATGGAGTATAAACCAAGTGTATAGCCATATCACCCTGCAGCCCAAGACTGGTTGCCCACAGAAGCTAAGCAGGGTTGAGCCTGGTCAGTACCTGGATGGGAGACCTCCTGGAAAACTAGGTTGCTGCTGGAAAGAGGTGTTAGTGAGACCAGCAGGGGGTGCTCACCTTGTGGTCTGTGTGGGTCCTAATTCCCCAGTATAGTGACGGGGACACTGTCAAAAAAGCACTGTATAAATGCCTCATTCATTCATTCATTAGTTCTGGCAGGTCAAGTGAGTCAAGCTTGCATTGGCTGACTCTCAGCTGATCCGCATCTACCTATAGGAATATGACGCCTATCACGGCATTCACGGCAAAAGTCTATTCAGTATTATTCAGCAGCTTTATAGCTCGCGCAGGAGCAAATTACCCTCCTCCATCCCCAACTCCTCCTTTCGCCACAGGACTTGGCTTTCTGATATTCCTTGTTGAATCAGTCTCCTTTATCTTGAATTATGTTGTTATACTTAAAAATCATTAAGAACATTAATTATATCTGCTTTGTTCTTTTCGGGAAGGGGTGTGCCCGAAGCCGAATACTTTTTCGGAAAGGCACGGATAATGGCTTCAAAAACGAATAACGGATAATGAATAATTCTGCCCGACTATTCGGCTGAGGGTGGCAAAGTCTGGTGTTTGCTAGAAAAATTAGTGGGCCAGGGGATCAGCACGATATTTTACACAAACCTCTGAAGTCACGCAATAATGAGTGTGTGAAGTGAATGAATGTAAACTTCATGAATGAAAAGAGCGCAAATCTAACATTGCTGTTGCGTCTGAGCTTGGCAAGTGTAATATCAACTAAAACAATACATCATACACGTTCTACTATTTGTGTATATTTAAAAGGCAATGATTTAAACCTTATAGGCTACGATATGATAGACGAATGAATGGAATAAGCACATCGCGATTGCCAATCAAACAGCCACGTTGTCGTCTCTGCACGTCTCTGTCTCTCAAAAACCAAACCAGATCTCTGTCAAGAGTAGGCTATAATCAACTTAGATACAGATACATTTTCTACTAGGCCTACACGTTTGCTTCTTTATATTTTCCTGGTTTGCGTGGCACATGCACATTTGTTTAGTGAAGTTCAAAAAAATACTTGCTTAAAGACTTCTGCGTAACGAAAATGTGCGCCTTGAATTAATTCAGTCGTGTTCAAATGATCACTAAACTTTTGTCATGAAATCTCTCTGCTTGTATGATAAATTTATTTTTAGAAATTATTAATTAAATATTTTAGAACAATGAATAGGGCAAATAGTTGAAACACAAACATTGTTCAATACTCTGTTCTCTTTTTTCCCCCATACTTTTCCAGACCTGGTGAAAAGTGAAATACTTTTTTAAACTGCATAGAAACCGGTGAGCCAAAGGAAAGCATGTTGTTTTACATAAACCTCTAAAATTACAACACAGTAACAAGTGTGTGCAGTAAATGAGTGAAGATTAAATTAATGAAATAAGCGCAAATAAAATAGCAGTCTTGCAGTTGCCTTTTTCCATGCATTTCTTGGAAATTAATTAAATCAATTTCCATATTTCTAAACTGGGCAGGATCCCTTACCATTTTAATGAGAAGATATTTAAATATTTATTTATCGGATCACGAAAGGTCCCCAGCTGGGACTCAAACTCGCGTTGCCTGAAGCACAGCACTACATCTCGAAGCACTGCCTATACAAGGGTATCGGCTCCAACTGTAAGAAGATATTTAAATAAATGTTATAATCATAAAAAATATTATTTTAGTTAAACATGGCATATTTGATCAGTGATAACTACGAAAAAAAAAAATAGTCTCTAAAACCATAGACATAATGTCTTATCAAGTAACTGTATGAAGTTCCGGTTCAAGCTCCGCCTACTTCAGGTTTTATCCGAATACAGATACAGATAGGGCTGTGTATCGGCAAGAATCTGGCGATACGATACGTATCACGAGACAGGGGTTGCCCTACGATATGTTGCGATATATTGCGATACTGTAAGCAAGACGATATATTGGGATATTTCTTATTTTAGGAATAGGTGAATAGGATATAATTGTAGGAAAACTGTCATTTAGAACACAACACCATATGTAAACCTTAGCAAAAAAAAGGATTTACTACTCAAGAGATCCGGAGCTCATTGACAAATATCTTATATCGTAAGATGCGCTCCCTGTACACAGAGTGCGTGTGATCGCGAAATCGAAAGTGAAAGTAAACAGCGCGAGCACTCATTCTCCACATTGATAGTTGCTCCCTGATACGCGAAAATTATATGCAATATTATAATGTTTGCGGGAGCGGGCGGGGACAAACCTTGCAGGAGCGGAACACACACGTTGTCACGGTTTAAGTTCAGAAGTAAGAAGACTGCTATATAGCGGTCGGCATATAAACTCAAAACGAAACAACTGGCATGAATCTTGTATACATTAAAAAATATATATATCGATATTGCGTTTTTTGAGAATTGATACAGTATTGCCAAACAAAATATTGTGATACTCGCGTGTATCGATATTTTCTTACACCCCTAGATACAGATACGAATAATTTTGGAATTGTTACAGACACAAATACTGGCTTCGCTGCACACCCCTACTTTTCGGTGTACTCTAAGGGGGATATTGCTGCTCTCCCTGCTGATTCATGACAGGCTGCATGGATGGGCAGGGAGTTTTGCCCAGAACAGAACCATACTACCAATCCAAATTATGCTAAGTGTCAATTATTTTGACGATAGTGGTATTGACAGAAATATAATAACAATTTTGAGTGAATGCAATTATTACCAGTTAACATTTAGTCTGTGTTTTTGTTTTTCTTTATCATTCTTAATTAAGTGACTTTAAAATGCTGCGCAAGCAGTTTTATTTTAGATCATGATGTTTCTTTTTTGCATATAATGTATAGTATAGCCTACTTTGATACATTCACCATGTTTGTTTTCATACCCTCCAGTTTGCACATTAATAGATAAATGAGGTTTTTCATAAAAAAGGAAATAAATATTGACTTAATATTTCACACCAAGAACAATAACTATAAAGATAACGATATTATCACCAGCGAAACGATATCGTCTGTTTATTCTAAGCGGACGTGCATCTGCCGCTTTAAATTCTCAAGCTCGTTATAGCAGGATGGATTCTGATTGGCTGTCAATGTTTTTATTGTTCATCAGCTGGAAAAAAATCATTCTGAAAGTGATTCCAACGGTATCGTTTCTCTGTGACTTTATCGTTATAGTTGTGGTGTGGACTCTGCTATTCTTTAATATTGAGAAAGATTTATAGAACTATATCTTTATCGATATCTTTATGGTTATCATCCTTGGTGTGAACGGGCCTTTAGTCCTAATTAATCAAATAATCAATTTACAGATTAATCAAAATAATATTAGCTGCAGCCCTACATCAAAACCATAAACCCTGGAATTTTTTGTCGTGCTTGTTTAAGATAGTTTATTTTATGTAGCAAATATCACTGTGTCTGAAAATCACAGATCTATGAGCCTTACATTATATTCAATTTTTAGGTAAAAATATTTACATTTTTGTATTTACCAAATCGAATATTTATTAAATTATATGATTAAATTTCCCTTGTAGGTTAAACGATTGTAATTTAACAGACAAAAGCTGTTCAGCTCTGGCTACAGTTCTTGGATCAGATACCTGTCTAAAAGAGCTCAACATGAACAGTAATAATCTGCAGGATTCAGGAGTGAAACTACTCTGTACTGGACTGGAGAATATAAAGTGTGAATTGGAGATACTAGTGTAAGTTGTGTGACAACAGACAAAAACTGAGCTCAATCAAAAAGTGTAATTTGTTTTAGATATTATTTGCAAATTAGGTGCTTAAATAATGTGTTGTTTTAATATACAGTATCTGTACATTATAGGCCTAATGATGAGTTACTTTTTAGACATATGGACAGTATGAAAAAAGCTTTATTTAAATATTTTGTTCATGTTTACTTTTGTTTTACATTGTGCAATATAGAATGAGAATAATTTATTAACCTTTTTTCAGGCTCAGTAAGTGCGAGTTGACTGAGGAAAGCTGTTCAGCTCTCGCTTCAGTTCTTAGTTCAGCCTCCAGCAGTTTGAAGGAGCTTGACCTGAGCAATAATAATCTGAAGGATTCAGGAGTGAAGATGCTCTCTGATGGATTGAAGGAGAACTGTAAACTGGAGAAAATCGGGTGAGTTGCTGTCTAACATATTAAAGGTCACTGGGCCTTTTGTTTGCATCCATATTGAGTCATGCGTTTTTATTTTTATTTTTTTTAGAATTTATTTTTTAAAGGAGCAAGGATTTTTAAAATAACTGATTAATCATCTGAATGTTACATTTTCATTCCTTTTCTAGACTTTCAAACTGCAGTATCACTGAAGAAGGTTATAAAGCTCTGGCTTCAGCTCTGAGATCAAACCCTTCACACCTGATAGAGCTGGATCTCACAGGAAATGATCCTGGACAATCAGGAGTGAAGCAGCTAAGTGATTTACTACAGGATCCAAACTGTCAACTAAAGACACTGAGGTGAGACATGATAAAATTATACAATATAAATGATATGCTGGTGAAATATTCAAAAATGTTGAAAAAAAAGTGCTGTCACTAATAGAATAAGTTGCATAAGTGTTGCATCAAATAAAAATTTCAAGAAAAACAAACTCACTACTAATTGCACAGTTTACTTGAATTGATTTCTGCTTCATCTTCCTTTCTGCAGGTTTTTGGGTACTGCTGCACATGAAGCCTGTCAGTATGTGACTGGAATTGTGAGTAAAAACCCGTTACTCCTGAGAGAGCTTAATCTGAGTGAACGTGAACTAGGAGACACACGAGTGAATCAGATCGCTGCTCTACTGCAGGACAAACACTGTAAACTCAACACACTGATGTGAGTATTTTACATCATTTAAAATGTTGCAAAAGGGTGTCATTGACATTTGTGTCAAGAACTAGTCTTAAAATTGACGTGAAGCGAATGCATCTGGAATAGAATGTTTCATAACTTGGTGATATTTCTGAAATAAAAAATGTTGTTTAAAAGAATTTCAGAAGTGACCTTCAAATGACAAATTACCCAAATCCAAATGACCAAAATGGCTTCAGCTCTAAAACCTTAGATGATCATCATAGATTTGAGTCATTGTCTTTTCTATTTATGTCTTCAGTCTGTGTAGATGCAGTATTACAGAGAAACAGTGTCTCATCCTGACTTCAGCTCTGAAATCAAACCCATCACACCTGAGAGAGCTGGACCTGAGTGGTAATCAAATAAGAAACACAGGAATGAATCACTTATGTGATGTACTGAAGGATTCACACTGTAAACTGGAGAGATTAAGGTGGGGAACATTCACATACAAGAATCAAATTGCTCAAATTACTTAACCATTGGAATAGGGGGGACCCCGAATAGTCGACGATTGCTTCGATAGGAGGAGCCTGATTCGACTACCAATCTCACAGTCACTTTTTTTTAAAGAGTACAAATACCAAAAGTACAAATTAGGGGTGACCCTGAATAGTCGAAGATTCGATAGGAGGAGCCTTATTTGACTACCAATCTCACAGTCAAATATTCACAGGGTGTTATGATCATGCCATTTTTGCTATAAGGGGGTGCTCAAATGTCTGATTTCACATAGAACTACTGGTTTTCTCCCAAAGTTCATATACAGCCTATTAAGATAATGCTGTAAATAAGAATATAAAAAGAAAGAAGCTTGGACGGGGTCTCAGGACAACGTGAGAGTTACCCGTTCCGACGGGACAGAGCAGAGCGATGGCTGGGTCTGCCTCCTCCCGGGGCAGCGCTTGCAAGTTCACCACCTGATCCCTAAAAGGCGTGGTGGGAACTTTGGGCACATATCCAGGTCGGGGTCTCAGGACAACGTGAGAGTTACCCGCTCCGAATTCCAGGCACGACTCGTCGACCGAAAATGCCTGCAGGTCCCCTACCCTCTTGACCGAGGCCAATGCGGTGAGGAGCGCTGTCTTCAACGACAGAAACTTAAGCTCTGCTGACTGCAGAGGCTCGAAGGGCTCTTCCTTCAGGCCTGCCAGGACCGAGGGGAGATCCCAAGAGGGTAACAGGTGGGGGCGCGGAGGATTCAGCCTCCTTGCCCCTCTGAGAAACCTGATGACCAAGTCGTGCTTCCCCAGAGACTTACCGTCTACTGCCTCGTGATGTGCGGCAATGGCGGCAACATACACCTTAAGGGTGGAGGGAGACAGCCTTCGCTCCAACCCATCCTGCAGGAAAGAAAGCACGACTCCGATCGGGCATCTACGGGGGTCTTCCCGGCGGGAAGAGCACCAATCGACGAACAGGTTCCACTTCAGCCTGTAAGCGTGTCTTGTAGACGGGGCTCTAGCTGAAGTGATGGTGTTAACTACCGATGGAGGTAGCCCACCTAGAACCTCCTCGTCCCGTCCAGGGACCACACGTGGAGTTTCCACAAGTCTGGACGCGGGTGCCAGATGGTGCCCCTTCTCTGAGAAAGGAGATCCCTCCTCAGAGGAATTTGCCAAGGAGGGGCTGCCGCGAGGAGCATTAGTTCGGGGAACCAAGTCCGACTGGGCCAGTATGGCGCTACCAAGAGGACCTGCTCCTCGTCCTCCCTGACCTTGCACAGTGTCTGTGCGAGAAGGCTCACTGGGGGAAACGCATACTTGCGTAGGCCCCGAGGCCAGCTGCACGCCAGTGCGTCCGTGCCGAGGGTTCCCTCGGCCAGGGAGTAAAACAACTGGCAATGGGACGTGTCCGGGGAGGCAAACAGGTCTACCTGAGCATCCCCAAAGCGTCTCCCAATCAGCTGGACCGTCTCGGGGTGGAGTCGCCATTCTCCCGGAAGGGCAGGCTGACGT